AACCATGTCAGCCTGTGACTTAGCACAACACCTGACTCTAAGCCCATCTCCTAGGCTGGCATTATCAAAGTCTTCAGAAACTCCAACAATTACAAGCATTTTACTCCTGGGACAGGAATATTTTAAAACAGAACTAAAAATAACCTAAGTGCCTGCAAATCCTCTTGGAAGTAAGGGAAGGAAACCAGCAAACCCACTCTACGTTCTTTTTTTAACTTCCAGCACTTTAATGCAATAACAGAAAACAAAAGAATCTCAGACCTCCTCTTATAGATATGCTAGATGGAGCACAGATCTATTTCTGGCTCTGAAAGTCGTTCAGCAAAGGCAGAAGCTCTCTAGACACTGAGAGCTCTGCTCCTGAAATCAATGAAAAAGATATTTGATGCTATTACTAATAGTTGTTACTCTCAAATGTGAAGTATATGTCAGTCTTGTTGGCCAACTCTTTCTTTGGCTGACCATTAAGGTGAGTTTTCAGTGATTTTCCTATGACTTTTCACTGTATTTTTTGCTTTTCTCCTATCCATGTCTCTAGGTGGTACCTAGGGAATTTGATTTTCGGCCTTGGCTGAAAAGAAGATAGAAAAATTTAGCTGTTATGGAATCATTTCGATGGAAACAAAACAAAATTCTTCTGTGTCTGGTACAGAATGCTTCTTTTTCAAGTCCTGCCTCCTATTATCTTCCACAGCCTTTGAGACCTGCCAGGGCACAGCTGAATGGGAGGTCTCCTCTCAGTTTCCATGCCCTGCTCAGTCCAGATGGTGCACAGCAGAGGTGACTCATGCTGTCACCTCACTTGTGGATCTTATGGGAATGACAGTGCTGAGAGCATTTTTCTCCTGGTAACTGGACCACAAAAACATGTAATGGGGCTGAGTCACTGTGCCAGATTACTTCAGACTCTTCCGACCCACTTATTTTCCTGTCATTTTGTGACACGTTTAGAAAATCTTTTGCTCATGCTGTTTATTCATTATGAGTTTGTTGGTTAATTTATTTTTTTTGGCAAATAGAGTCTGCTTTTAGGTTTTGATGTTATAGCTTGAAATACCAAGAGAGGAAAGAATAATACACCCTTATGTGATATCTCCAAGCAGGCAGAAGGTTTTTCACAATAAGCCATCGAGAAAAGCAAAATTGCAACAGCATGTCAGGAATACATGAAGCACACTGGGAATTCATCCCTAGCTCAATACTCTTACAAGTACTCCAGGAATGGATTTGGGCTCTACACACTGGGAATTCATCCCTAGCTCAGTACTCTTAAAAGTACTCCAGGAATGGATTTGGGCTCTTAACAAGAGAAATGTTTTATCAGACTCATAACTCATGTGTTTAAGATTTCTGGGCAGATATTTAAAGCTCAGCTCTGGTGGAAACACTGCCATATTGTAACTGCTGTTTGTTTTACTGGTGTTTTTTCCACAACATGGAAAATGATTTCACAGGAACTGGAAAGAATGTACTACTTATTCCAGAGAACAGGGAGTTCAGCAAAGTTTGTATATTGCAAATTTTATGCAAATGTCTCTAGCAGCTTTGCAGGTGACTCAGCCAGGCCTGGAGGATGCTGTTCCCATCCCTGTGCTGTATCTGTAGGAAAAAGCTGCTGCATTCTGCACAGACCAACGACCTGACTCTGCTGCCTTCCTTCAGGAAAGCCCCAGATACACAGGGAGCCTAACAGTGCTTTTGAATAAGCTGGACAATAGTCTGTGTGACTTCTCCTCCAGCCAGTCTCTGTACTGAGAGACTTATAGGAGAGAACGTGCTGCAAAATTAGGCTCAGTGTGTTTCTCCAGCTTCTCTGGAGGTTAGGGGACCCAAAGGAGTTTTGTTTCCTCTACTCTGCAGATTGCTGCTCTCTTTAAGGTTCCCAAAAGCTCTTTTTACTTCCTAAAGAGATCTGATAGTAATACAAATATGCTCTCAGTCAAACCCTGCTGACTATCCAGCTTTCCAATGAGAAATCCACGGGGATTTGTTGGTTGTTTTTTTTCAGAAGCAGCATTAACTTCTCCTGGGACTCTTCTAAATGCTCACATCAAACCAAAGCCTAGGGGGGAAAAGAGAGGAAGTTTCATAGCACCAGTACAGATTGAATGGCCTTCCAAGTGCTTTCCTGCCCAGGAGTTGCTCTACTTCCCTTTTTCTTGAGACAATAAGGTGACTCTTGGCCACAACAGCAACTGGACCCCACACTCAGAATTGTTTGCTAGCACATGTATGATGTGTTTTATAGTTATAAGCAACTCTAGTTAGTTCCTGCTTTCAGTAAGTCAGATGGATGAAGCATTAACCTGGTCCCACATGTCCCACAGTTCTCCCTTTAGCCATTTAACCATAGTTTTTATTTTTACTTTTTTCCCTAATCGGCACCATGGAGTAGATGAAACACAAAGGCTGTTTGACACAGATGGGAGGAAAGATGCTCCATGTGCTTAAGGGGGTTGGTACAGATGGTAGATTTAGTTTTTGTCCAGTATCAAAAGGCACTAGCCTACAGAACTGGGACTCTGGAGAGGTCATTTGGCTCATGACTTTTGGAATTCAGGTTGTCACAAAGCTGTTACAGCCCTTAAGTGCTTTGGCCACGTATTCACTTGTCTCCTGTGAGCTACAAGGCAGGAACAAAGTTTAACTCTCAGGAAAATGTGATACTAACAATATACATGGAGAGCTCTAGCTACATGCTCTGCAGCCAAATTAAAGAAGAGCCAAAATAAGGAGGAGGAAGTGCAACTACAGTTGCAATATGAGGCCAGTGCCTTTGCCACAAATTAGGCACAGAGACTGTAGAGACTACTGAACATCAATGATTTTGCTCACTTGGAACACTCTGCCAATGATTTTTTTAAATTCCTGAAAATTCAGACAGAAGAGCAGTGACATTAGTGTTTGGGAGTTCCTTAGGGAGGGCAAGGAGCCAAACTGCTACAGTCCAGTATTTTAATTAGTATCTTTCAGAGCTTCCCAGAATGAAAGCAAATCTACTCAATCAGAAAACAAATACACCCTCTCTGTCCATCATGGAGATCTCTTTTGTACAAACTCACTGTTCTCTTCACCAGCTGAGAGTCTGGCCCCTAGACATCATCTGAATACAGCAGTTCAATATTGACTATTTCTAGCCAAGAAACTGTCATCTTTGTTAACTGTGGTCATTTTACTCAAATATATTACCTTGACACCCAAACTGCACGAACAGTGAATAGATAAGGAGCTGTGAGGCTTGCTCATATCCCAGCACATTTTGAATATTGATTCTGCTGAGAGGATAGAGTTTAAGATTGTTAATTGATAAAACTAATTTCAGTGCCATTTAGCATGATGGATCTCAAGAGTAAAACAGGCTTTGGTTGTGCTGAGCATGAATAATACGGGGAGCCTACGTAAGAACATTCATCAGTATAAACATCTCTGCCTCCAAGTGTCCTAAACACATACATCAGGGACTCCTGCACTAGCCCTGAGGCTAACATGCTGATCTTCCCAATGAAACTAAGCCTTACAAGACAGGGACAGTGGGAGAGCAGATCCCCAGCAGAGCTGACAGGGATGCATCAACAAGGAAAAAAGGTCAGCACTAAGGATTATGATGAAAGGTATTTCACTGCCATATTTTGGGATGAGAGGGGTAAAAAGGCAGCAGAAAGAGCTGTCATAGTGTAATGAAAGCAGCAGAATAGGCAAGATAGAGTTAACCAAAGCAGCAGATAATAAAAGGATCCAATGTTTTACTAAGAGGAGCAGAGCAGCTGAAGGACAGCTCCCTGCAGAGACCTGCGTTCAGTGCAGAGGCGGCAGGAGAATAAAAGCTCTTGGGTTGTGATTAAAATCTTATTTGTGCCAGGAACACCTACTTCTCCCATTCCTCAGTTAATTCAATGATTTGGCTGCATTATCCTTTGTGCACTCACTCTCACACGTACACAGTCTAATCCCTCAGCTTTCTGTTCTTGAAATACCACAGTGACAACCCATGCTCTGATGGCACTTCAGGTGCTCAGGCAACAGGCAATCCACCCTTCAGGCACAGGATTGTGAAACAAGAACTTGGAGACATCCAAGTTGAGAATGTACAATTAATCACAAAGGCTGTTTTTATATTGTTCTGAGCATGAGTTTGAAATAGAAGCCCTCAGTGCAGCCCTTGGAACCAACACCTGAGCCTTGGCTGCCAATGTGGCTGAGAAACTGAAATAAAACATTTGCCAGGAAGCTAATGCTGAAGGTTGTCAGCTTCCAGGGGAATAATGCAGTATGGCAGCTCTCAGGAGAGGGATCTGTTTCAATGAGAACTGAAGGTGCAGTTTCTGCTAATGTTAGAGATTTATTTTTTTCCTAAGCTGTCGTCTGTGTCTTAACATTAATGGACTTTCTGCACACATCAAGGATTTGAAGCATCCAATATCAACCATGAAGTACATTCACCCAAGGCACAAGACCTCAAAACAGATAAATGCCAAGTTTACAAATCTTTGGTGTCAGGGCTGAATTATTAGTAAGGTCAAAGTTGGTAGTGGAATATGCAACTTGTCCTGGCTGTGCCAAATCATGTATCAGCTTCTGCTGCCCCTTCCCAGGGTCTCTGCTATTCTCACCCTTGCTCTTCTCCCAGTGAAAACTCTCACTGCAGTATGTGCACTATGGCAAACTTGTCTTTTCCCATGACTATTACTTATACAAATGCCCATTCCAGAATGTTTACTGACATTCAGTAAAGCAAAAGGCATCTGAAGTTATCTGCAGTGACAGGTATGACCTACACACAAACAGGGCTCAAGAGGCATTTAGTTTTAAATATCCTTTGCTATCTGTTTGAGTTGCTGAATGAACACTGTCAGTAGCCCATGGTTAAGCCTCTGCCTTTCAGGCTGATGCACAGGTCCCAGCCAAGGGTTTGTGCCATCTCTTCAGAGGAGATCTGGCCAATCCCATCAACACAGGGTGGAGTTTGCATGTCTCTGACCATGCTTGTTCTGTTTCTGCAGGATGGATGACATCCAGCTGTGCAAAGACATTATGAACCTTAAGAAAGAGCTGCAGAGTTTGGTAGCAATCCCAGGTAATGGCTATCTCCATCCAATATTAGGATAATACTTGGGTGATACATGGGTGGGGATCGTGTCAGGAACACACCTCTGCCCCTAACAGTCTCTTCCCCCCAAAGTTGAGTTTCATATCTTGTTCCTCTAGTCCTTATTTCTTTCTTCTCATTTTCCTGCCCATCTTTAATCCCTTCTGTCTCTTAATTTCTTTTTGTGCTGTATTTCACTGCTCCCATGGCAGCAACCCTGCAAATATCACTCAGACAAGGTGAACATTCCTTAGTTCTTGCAATCTCCCTTGGCAATCTCAAAGGAACCAAGTGGCACAGAGATTGTCAGGTAGAAAAGACAGTGTGCTGAGACACCAGAGATAAAAGGGGGAAAGGAGAAGGATTTATAACCACCACTGTGAACATGATTGATTTTTGCCTCACTACACCAATTCATTATCACACCTGTAGTTATCTACCTTCTAGAATAAAGAAGAACAGGCTTTTACAAAAAGCAAGGGGCAAAGGTCTGCTTTGTGTTTTGCCATAAATCTCTGCAAATTCACTGCCCTGAGGAGGGGCAGAGCTGTGTGCAGTTCTGCAGTCCTCAGCTCCAAACTCCAGCTGCCAGCAATGAGGAATTTCACTTCCCTACAGCTCTGCCATTTTAGATGACCCACAACAGCCCTTCTCTGTCCAAGAAAAAAATACAGACACATCCTGCAAAAAAGGCTATTTGCACCAGATACTACTGCACAGCCTCTAGCACCTGCAAAAATAATTTGCTGCTGCCTAACGATTAAGGGCAAGTTTTGACTCTCCTTTGGTTATCCTCATTTTTCCTCTTCAGATTTTATTGTGCTACTTTAAAGGACAACTTTCTCCCCAACAAGGAGAGAGAAGGTCACTTGTGAAATAGGAAATACCTAACTGAGACCACATGTTCTTAGCTGTATGAGGACTTTGCCACTTTTCTTTGCACCCAGCAGGAGTGGATGAAAAAATAAGAAATATGATTATTTCTTTATACTACTTAGTTACAGATGTGCAGAGAGAGCTGCTCTTTGGTTTCAGCAGACTCAGTAGATATTGAATCAGTGGTTTAGTACACAGAACACACAGCACTTTGCCACAGTTCAGGCTGCACATATTTGTCAAGCAGTTTCCTGAGGATATAATGGGAGAGCACATCCCAATCTAGGAGAAGGATAGATTGAAAGGAAGTAGAAAGTATTTTCTACCTTCAGAAGTGAGAGGAGGGAGGAGAGCCTTTGCTTCACAGACATAAGAGGCAAAGTAAGAAAAAGCAGTGATTGCTAAGCATTTTTCTTTTGTTTTTTTTCCTCAGATACAAGTTCAGCATTAGTCACATGAATTCTCCATAGGTAACAATGTAGAGGCCTTAAAATCTTCATGCAGTCATTAACCACCTTCCTTTTTCATTTCCAAAAGATAAAACACAGAAAATACATCCCAGGCAATGCAGCTTTATGTTACATTACAAATCATTTCCTCTGCTACTGACAGACCATAATTTTAAATTCTCCATGGACTATCACTTCGAGATTGAGACTTACAGAATTTCATTGTCCTGAAAACATATACAAGGTGCTTTTATCTCACTTACTGAGGACTGAATTTATTGCAGAAATTCCCAGCAGTAAGCACCATCAAGTGCATGATCCAAAATTAAGCTGTATTAAACAATAGTTTTCAAGTGTCTGATTCATTTAGCTGTTTAAAATATCTCGTAACTCAAATCAGCAGACATAACACAGCTCAGATGCATCAGTCTGCAGGCAGCTTGCCCTCCTTCCCACAATTTCTGCTGTACTTCATTGAATAATTCTCTAAACAGTTCCTCTGCTCAAAACCAAAATTCTGGATTTAATGCACTGTCTTCACAGCTAATCAAAATTTTCTGCTTCTTGAGGAAGTATGTGGGCTGGGATTTGCCTCTGGCTTTCTTATCTCTGCTCCACTTGCTAGGTTTGAAGATTTCTGTCTTAAATACATTTGCTTTATAGCCTTACAGAACAGCTCTGCAATCCCTAACATTCATGACTTTTAGTTTGTGCCAGGCACATTTTTCATGCCACAAAAATGTTGTTTATCAACAACCTAGCCATTACAGACTGGCCAGTTAACAAGGACTTAGATTAATTACTCAGATTTTTGAAGCACAGGGGGAAAAACGTTTCATTTATTTGTCCACATTTTTAACTTGATGCTATTTGTGTGGATTTGCAGCTCACCTGCATTACTAGAGTAGAAAAAAGGGTTGCAGTCAACAGCCAAAGCTGTCTTGAGGCACAATTCCTTTTGGTGTGATCTCATCTCCCCTAGGGTCAAAGGGAGTTTGTACCATGGATTTTAATGAAGCATCCTGGACAGTTTCTTGCCAAAGCCTTAAAAAAAAAAAAAAAAAGAAAAAAAATCAAGGCTATGTCTTGCAGAGTAATTTAACATTAAAAGTAGACTTGGCAAGCTGCACAGTATCTTTGAAGCATTAAGCTGCTCAGTCCCAACAGCAGCAAGTGGAAGAAAGAAGAGGCAGTGACCAGACTTGTTGGGGCTTTGGTGACTCAGATCTGAAGAACCATTGACTTCCATCAGCAATTCATTCTTAGATATCTGCAATATCCAACACCACCCCCCCACACACTCTCTAGAGCCCAAAGTAATAGTCTCTTTTCTCTGTTTTTGACCAGAAAAAGAAAAAACAAAGATGGAGAAACAAAGAGAGGATGAACTGATCCAGAAGATTCATAGACTGGTACAAAAAAGAGATTTTCTTGTAGATGATGCAGAGGTGGAGAGATTACGGTAAGAACCAAGAGCTACTGAACTTATTAGTGAGATTCCACAGGCCTAATGCTACACTGGGTCTAGTGACAAAATTTACATCAACATTAATGGTGGAGAATTGGTCCTTTAAAACAGCTTGGCAAGTTGAAAGCCTCACCCTGGTTCCATAAGAAAAACATGAAAATTAGATCACTGAATCACTCTTAGGATAAAGAGCCACATAATTAATCTCATGAATACAGTGGAGTTTGGTCTCTCCTACCAGAAAGTGCCTGGGCATTTACCATTTAAAAGAGAAGGATTTTTGCTGCTAACTGAGAATCCTCTTGGCTAAGAAGTAGACATGAAAAGGAATTCTACAAGGGGCACATTTGAAAACATTTAAAAATGTGCCTTTTTAAATTATCCATGTGGTCAGGCTTTATTATTACTATTCTCACCCTGTCACTGAAAAAAAACTCAACCAAACAAAAGAAGCTCACTCACCAATGGAGCTCTACCTAACCTAGTTGAAACCTGCTGTCTGGGGAATACAATGAATTCAGCACTGTCAGAGACAGGTAGAGAACATTTGGTAAAATTCTATCTCAATTCTACAAGAAGTTTGTAACTATTTTCATTTAGGCAAATATTTTGCTTTTTGACATACAGTAAACTGTTTCTAAAAACGAAGTTAATTGTTTACTAGTGACTTGATTCCCAGCTGCTCTAGCTTTTACTGTCCCATTTACAGAGAAAACTGTCACTTCTGTAACACTTCATTTCCTTCTTTCCACCAGGGAGAAAGAAGAAGACAGAGAGATGGCTGAGTTCCTTCGCACCAAGTTAAAACCCATAGACAAAGCAACACAGTCTCCTACCAGTGAGTTCCTAAACATTAAGAAAAAACACAAGAACAAAAGGAAAAATTCCAAAGACAACTGGATAAAAGAGCATTTCCAAAGGCTGTGCTGGGCCAGCCTCTGGTAAAAGCTAGGTTACCCACAAACAGGCCAGTGTGTCAGCCACCACAGGCCCTTAGAATTCAGATACTAAGTTACCCCCTAAAACTGAACTGAGGTCACCTATGGTCACCTCAAAATTGCTTCATATGATTTAAATATGCAAAGTGTATTTGTATAAAGATTGCCACAACCTACTTTTGTAAGCAGCTAAGTTTTTGTTCATTTTCCTATCTGGTTATGCAAAAATAACAAAACCCCCAAAAAAACTCTCCAGCTCCATGCTAGAATATTTGAAGTAAAGTTTGCCTGTTTTGGTTGCTGCAGGCAAGATGGAAACTAGAGAAAACCTGCAAACTTCCACAGCTGACCCAACCGAAATTGGCTTTTCAACCACCTCAACCCAAATCACTTGTAGACAGAACAACAAACAATTTAGTCTCTGAGAAACTAAGTGGATTATATGATCACTTGGAAGCTTTAAACTGCAACTTTCTAACAAAACAGTCAGAGCATGAGCTCTAAAAGCAGATAGGGCAAAATCAATCTCCAGCTGAGCTCTCAGGCAGGGAGCTAGTCAAGTGAAAGCAGTGTCCTTCTGAGAAAGTGAGTGGTCCACCAGCTGAAGAGGTTTGTATCAAACACTTCCATTTTGCACAGACCAAGATCTTGCTCAAGAGTTTCCAGAGGGACAGGAATGACTGTGAAGTTCAAGTACAAGGTGGAGAAGAGACATTTTAAGATGTATCACTAATTATTTATACCCCCTTAGTCACAGGGAGCATGACTCATCTCCCTTGTTAGTTTACTTTATGTCATTGCTTTCAAATGAAGTTTTAGAGATAAAAAGATTCTTTTCACCCTGAAAAATTAGACCCTACCTCTATATTGTTCTCCTAATTACAACATCGAAGTTGATGAGAGAATAAATTTTAGTGATATTTTTGTTCTTCAGCTGTTGGGACTGAAACACAGTAAGATGACCTTGAGGAAGGAGCTGTTATCTGACCCTATGGCTGTGAAAAAGGACACCTGGCTTGAACAAGATGCAAGTTTACCTTCCCCTTGAGATGTCTGGATTCCTCAGCCCTTCTTAACACCCTTCCCTGAAGAGATAAGGCTTCCTGAGCAGTTTGAAACTGCTTAGTAACCACCAAAGTGTATTGTTCAAGCAAGAGTTGAAAAATTTAGGGGATGTGGAAGGCAGGAAAGGCTTGCACCCTTTAAGGCAGGAGTAGGAAGAAATATCTTGCCCAGCTCTTGATTTTAATGGTGTCCTGTTTTGAACATTGCAGGCAGCCCAGCAGAAAAGAAGGCAGAGCCTCCTCCAAGCAAGCCCACCATTGCCAAAGCAGGATTGGCAATTATTAAAGATTGTTGTGGAGCCACACAATGCAACATCATGTAGCTCTGGGCTTTCTACCCTGTTTGTCTTTTCAGTGTTCTCATTGAATGGAACTGTATGGTGAGGGGAACCAACAGCATCCTGCTAATGGAGTCAAGAGCAACTGGTACAACAGTAGTCTATGGAATGTACAATGGCAGGTTCTTCACTGTTGCATGGATCACTCAACACGCATGCCTAAACCAGAAACCTATATAGTGGCTGTCCAGTGACCAGAAGAGATCAGTAGTAGAGTCAGCAAGAACACCCCAGTGATACAAGTGAATGAAAAGAAGGTATATTTTACCCAGTAAGGCATAAAACAGCAATTTTAATAGGCTTTAACTTTCTAAGAATTTGTTGTACACTTTCCCCCCATGACAAACAGCACTCAGAAATTGTGAGCTATCCCATTGTGGCTCCTTTTCACAACAGCCACAAGTAGCAATGCTGTACATAGCACAACTGGTTAATGAAGCAACTTTAAGATAACTGATGTTGCATACAAAACACTTATCAAACTTGTGTGATGTTCAACTACTTTGCTGTGGAGTTCACCTCAAATTCTTCCTAAAGAATGAGATCAGTGACAAGGATGCTGCAAGTAGCTATAGATTTTTATATCCTCTAGGATTTCTGAATTACTCAAGTTAATACTGCTTGCACCAGGGAAGGTAAATCTCTGGCAAAGCTATAGCAAGCACAGCTACAGTAATCTGCAAAGAGATGATGCAGTCCAAAATTGTGTCACTTCTTTTAGATCTCCATCTCACATGGAGGCAGAGAAATGTTCACCCCGAGAGTTTTGTCCACTTTTAGAAGCTATGAGATTACACATCACTGAGAGGTTGCTGGGAGAAAAAAGGAAACAAAATTTAACTAATATTTAAACAATGCTTAATGAAAGTATTAATTGTCTATTTCATGACCATAAGAAATATGAACTATGACTCATGGGAAGACACTAGCCACCCAAGACAAACTGACCACAAGACACATACATAAATCCAGATGTAGATATTTGTGGCAGAGAGATCACATTCTATACAAAATGGGTTTAAAATTAAGGGAAATACAGAAAGACTTCTGTGTTTCACCATTCAATGTGTTTCTGGTCTCTATGCAGATTAAGCCTTGTGGAATCTAATCTATATTAGCTGTCAGTAGCTGGTTTGTCTGTGTGATGGTATTCCATATAAATGTACTGTGATAGGTGTAAATAGTAAAATAAATGTACATGGATCTAGTGTGAAAATCTCAGGCTTAGAAATAACAAACAGATAGCAAAAAGTTCCTGAAATAAGAGTTTTACAAGAGGAACTCCCATTCTGTAAAGCCAGCTAAGTGAAGTGTGTGCTTATATACAAAGGAACCACAGTATAGGAAAGGAGAAAAATTAACAGCAGTTACCCCAAAAGGATAAACAGTTATTTTTTTTAGGGAGAAAAAGTATCTGATTAGGGTTCAAGGCAATAGGCACCATCTAAAGTAACTCAGACTATTGTACAAATAAAACCTAGTCCCTAGCACTGGATTGATTTGAAGAAAACCAGTTGCATTTCTAGAAGAATTTGTTTCAGTATTGCAGACTCACTGGGGACAGAGAACCTACATCACTAAGTTCCTTAAGGCTGAAGGATCGATGAGGAAAAAACACAAAAGGTTTCCACTAAAACATGAAGCACTTTAATTACTTTGACCAAAGATGCAGGAAAGAGAACAAAACATATCCAAAGGCTGAAGAGTCATATACAGTCATTGCATCCTTGTTGGTGCAACATCACATTGAGCTCTGTGGCTGTTAAAATCTACTGTACCTGGGGTGGGTTGGACTCTCTATAGCACCTGTGTGCATTAACACAGTGAGGGGGAAAACTGCTTCCAGGGGAGAATATACACTGGAGGGAAAGAAACACCCACTGCCTTCTGTAAAATCCAACAGCCTCTTGAATGTGTTGGTACCAGTTAAGACATCAGGAATCATCAGTAACTTTAGACAAGGCAGATGGTCAGTGCCATTAATAAAGGCAAATGAAAGTGAAGGAAAAAAGCTGCAGTGAAGCACCAAACTTGAAGCCTTAGGAGGATCAGCTGTCACAACCAGGTGCTGTCAATCCAGTGAGTAAAGGCCTGGAGGAACTCTGCATATGATTTTTCTAAGGCAAAAGGTGACTTATGCACATTAGTGTTTAAACCAGGCTGTGCTGGTGAGTGGGGTGACCCCTACATGCTGCACAGGATTTATAGTCCCTTGGGAAGGAAAGTGACACCAGTAGAACATAGGTTTGCATGAAAAAATTTCCTTAATAGGAAAGAGTTAGACACTCCTGGGATGCAACACTGATGTCTGGGCTACAGAGCCCTCTCCCTTAACTGAACTGCAGAACAAACACAGCAGGTATGAATATGCAATATTCATACAGTTCAGCACTGGCAGTTAGTGCCCCAAAGGGACTTGAACTACAGCAGTGTTAACAAGAATGAACTTCATTTTCAGAAGTTCCAGGCTGGCTCAGCTGAAAGGTTTTCTTTGTGAGTTAGTTTTTAATTAGCAAGTCTTGGTTTCTGTTTTAATTTGTGTGGGTTTGAACAACTTACCTGCAGTGCACCAGTGGTTCCTTCAGAAGTGAGTCAGTGATGCTGCTTAGCAATAAAAGTCTTGGATTTTATAGACTGAGGTCAGATCCTCAGCTGTGTTCAGCACTGGCTTACAGTGTGGCCCAGCCAGAACACAGCGCAGCCTAATGGCTTATGTCAGAGATAATGGTTGCAATTAAACAGACTAACTTGGGAAGGAATTAAGTGTCAAAATCTTGGTCCTTGTTTTTAAAACACCTTATTAAATCACTGAATATCCCAAGAACAACCAGGGGCTTTGTAACTCCCATGATCTTATGAACATGACACATTACACAAGCCCCATATATAAAATCAGCAGAATATCAGACAAGTACCTTTAGGTGACTATGGAGTAGTTTTATGAACAAGACACATTATACAAGCCCCATATATAAAATCAGCAGAATATCAGACAAGTACCTTTAGGTGACTATGGAGTATCAGGCATAATTTCAGAGCTGATTTTCAGATATATGAGTTACTGTCTGCAAAGAGGAACATGGATTGACTGAAGCACCCAAACTCTCTTCTGGGAATCCTGGCTGTTAATCCCTTCAGAAGAAGGAAAGGCATGAGAAAAAGAAGAAAATGTAAGTTGGATGTGACACGCTATCAACTGGTAAACACAACGATGTTTGGGAAAGGATCTTGGTCTACTGAGAAAAACAAAAGTGCTGAAGTGCTATTTGTACACATCACCAATTCTACCAGCAAATGGTTCTCCTGTACCTTCCCCTAGGCCTACTGAATCTCTTCCAACTTCAACATATTTCCCAATAAACTAAGCTGCTGTGTTATACTAAGCATTTGTTTCTTTTTGTTACTGAAGGAAATAAGTGGTTGTGGAGTGGGATGCACATTTTGTGCTGCTCCACTTCTCAAAAAGAATAGGATTACTATTCTGCAAAAGAAATGCTTGGATAAGTTAGTGGTGCTACTGAAATGAAAATAAAGGATTTTCTCACTACAGAAAAACATAAATCCCCCAATCTCATTATGCTCCTAGATGACTTTGAAACCTCACTAAGCCCAGAGCACTGCACAGATTAGAAGACAGTTCTCAGCCCTACCTTGAGTCGATAAAGGTGCCAAGATATCTGAGTATCAAAATATTGCAAGCCAAAGTTGATAAAGGTCCCAAGGTATCTGAGTATCAAAATATTGCAAGCCAGAAGGAAGGGCTTAACAGCTATTAGAAAAAAATAAAGCAGTACTGCCTGATGTGCTCACCAGAGTGCTTTCACAGGCACTACCTCAAGTGTAGGACGACTCTGGGAATCTCAGGGACCAGAAGCTGCATGACCATGTGTATGTAGGGGGAATCTCTTGTTGCTGCTTTACTCCTGTTGCCCCAAATTTCCCCCAGTGGGAAGCAGACACAATGGAGTACAAATTTGTATTAACAAAGTTTTGATGTTTGAGAATCAGCTAAAGAGTATCTAACAGCAATGATATTCTATCATCTGAGCAAGAGACATGAAAGAGAAGTTTCTCTCCTCCCCCATCACCCAGAATAAAGTAACTCAGCTCAACAGAAAGCTTTAAAAACAGCCCTGCAGCCTGCTGAGGAACCCCAAGTCAAAAATCAGTGACACACAGGAGAGAGAACGTATCATCCAAACCTTCTCTGCCTAATTGTACTGTAGTGACAGCTAATTCCAAGTTCCATAGAGCCAATTACCTCATCCCATCTACACTGACACAGGAGTTTGAGGGTTTTTTCTTACCAGCAGATTTCATCATACCAAACAGGTTTTCTGGCAGAATGCCATTTTTGTTATTTTGAATTTGATAACTGGAAGGCTGACTTGAGACTGGTGCCCAAGGCATGACATCAGAGTGGTTTGACAGCCATGTACCACCTGACCTGCTGCAATGCCTGGGGCTCTCATGTCCTGCACACCTCAGCATCACTCTTCCTGATGGAAGAGGCAAGGCAGCTCAGCATCACTGTGTGCCTTGTATTAAGTAGAATAACTTTTAGCAGTAATACAGGTTCAAACCTCAAGGTGAAATGAATCAAAGCCAACTCAAAACAAATAGGCAACAGTTGATATTTCTCACCATCTTTCTTCCTGAATTACTACACACTTATTTCTGGCACATCACAGATCACAAACTGTTTTGCTTTTGAGCTGGCAAAGGCTGCACTACAGCCTCCTCAGGCACACATGCAAGGCTGAACTATAATCACTCCTGTTTGGCAGAGAGATATATTAAAGAAAATCCTTTAAAGGTCTTTTCCTTTAGGACTGACAAGCCTGACAGATTATATAGTTTTCAAAGGGATCACCTGTATTATCACAAGCAATAAAAACACTCCAGTTTCATTTGCCTTGGGAATAACAGTCCCTTGTAACACAAATTACAGTGCTAAGCACCAGAAGCATGAGCCTGGTGGTTTTGTCTGTCCATGCCTACACAGGCCATCTGTAAAAGCAGGAAGATAATGTTGGTTGAAAGTCCAGGGTACCTTCAAAGTCCTGCAGGATATAGATCC